GCGAAAGCAAACAAACACACGAACACACCATTCACACGCAAATGCATTCGCACACGCATACTCGTACCAACAGACGGCAGGATGTCGTGCAATGTGCATTTGCACCCAACAGCCCTTGTCGTCAGTCTTGATCCTTAGCACCCACTTGCTGTACTGCTTTCTTTCCCTCAGGCAGCACCACTAGATCCCAAGTCCCGTTCTCCAGCAGGCTCTGGTACTCAGCATCCCTAGAAGCCAGCCACTTGTCCCTATCTGGTCCAGCTAATGCCTCCTCCATGCTAGCTGGTTCCTCTGGTGCAGGGGCGATAAAACAGTAGGCAGGTTCATCCTCCTCATCTGGGTCATAGCCATGAGGTAGAATCAGCATTGCCTCCTCGGTCCCAAGCTGCTGCTCCGCTACACCTGATCCTGCAGTCAGCTTCTTAGTAGCCATACGGGTACGTCCTGGCCTGGAGACGGGTGTCTCCCATCCCTTCATAACGACACCCTTCGGCTTCTTAGCTTTCCCCTGCTGCTGCTTTCCTCCCTCGGATCCAGCAGCTTCACTAGTGCTATCGCCAGCCTCTCCTCCACCAGCAGGTGCCTCCTGTACATTTTCTCCATCACCATTTCCCGCAGCTGCCTCCTCTCCCTCCTCCCACACACTAGGAGTCAGGTCCAGCTGCATGGTGATCTGCTCCATCTGCTGGGACACCCTTGCCTCTGGTTGTTTCTCCCAGCTCCCATACATCATGCCCTCAATGAATTTCATATCCCTGCTGTCAAACACAACCCTTGGATGGTTCCCACAGCAGCCATCCCTTGCTCTCAGCTGCCAGTCCCAAATGCACACACCAGATTGCACTCGCCCCCAACTTACTGCGGTAGGGCTTGGGGACGTGGGCGACTGCCATGCAACCAAACACCCTCAGCATGTCCACCGGCGGCTTCCTCCCAAACCACCTCTCCAACGGCACCCACGAGTCATTACCAACCTTGGTGAGTACCCTGTTCCTAGCGACGGTAGCGTGCCGGACAGCGTGAGGCCACATGAAGTTTCCAAGCCCAGATTCTATGAGCAGCGCCCTAGCTGTCTCTAGAATAGTCCGGTTTGCCCGTTCTGCTACACCGTTGGACTGTGGGGTGTAAGCAATGGACAGCTCCCTCTGAATGCCCTGCTTCTTGAGCCAGGCCGTCATCTCAGCTCCAAGGAACTCACCACCCCGGTCTGTCCTGATCCGCTTCACCACACACTCGGCTTGCTTTTCCACGAACGGCAGCCAATCGTCCCGAATCGTGGAGGCGGCGTGATCTTTCTGCTTCAGCGGATACGCCCACATTAGCCTGCTCCAGTCATCCACTATGGCTAGGAAATATCGCTCCCCCTTGTGCCCTTGCACCGACAGCGGCCCCACCAAGTCCATGTGGACCAGCTCCAGCGGCTTCTTGCTCTTGCCAGCCACACTATGGAAGGGGAAACGGGTGAACTTTGAGAGCAAACAGATTTCACAGTTGTCATCGGGTGGCTGTTTGTTCAGCTTCAGACCCTGAACGGCTCCATCCTTCTCCAGCTGCTTCAGCAAAGGCATTGCCACATGCCCTAAGCGCCGGTGTGCCGTTGCCCAATCTGTCTCCCCAGATCTGGCCGACACTTTCACACCAACCCCTCCAACGGCGTTGCACTCCCCCTGGGATGCAGACCCCTCTCCAGCCTGCCCCCCACCGTGCCACGCCAGGGCCGGCAGCTGCCACATAGATCTGTACACGTCCTTGCTCTCGTGCAGATCCCAAAGCACCTGATTGCCCAGCTTCCCCTTATAAGTGCGTGCCCCATCCGTGTTGGTGTTCACCCCAGCCTTGCCAAGCTTACGGAGGGAGATAAGGTTGGCCTTCAGGTCGGGGACGAGGAGAACGTCGTGCAGCACCACCGGCTTGCCATCCGCTCCCTTAAACGCAGCTCGTCCCGCACCAGCCACCTTCAACATGTGTCCAGAGGCGGAGCACACCTCATTGATCGGTGCTGCGCGGTATTTCGTCCAGCAGGTCCTTGCACGGCGTCATCGTCCAAGCAGCGCCTGTGTCCAACACCCAATAGTCCAGGGGGTGCAGCTCTGCTCCAACTTTGGCAGAGGCGTCTCCTTGCTCCCCTTTGTCTCCCACATGGAAGAATTGGCCCGCGGTGCGCTCCTTCTTCTTCTCCGCACCGCCGTTGCCCTTCGGGTTGTTGTCGGACGAATCAGCGACCATGTTGGCGCCGTTTTTCTGGTTCCTCCGCGCACCGCCATCCTGGTGACGATTCTGGGGGGTCCATCCATCGAGTTTCTTATAGCACAAAAACCAGGGGTGCCCTTCCTTCTCACAATACCAGCAACTCCCTTTCATTTTGCCACCAGCACCCGACTTGCCCCCACGTCCAGATTTCGCACCGCGACCCCAACCGGTACCTCCTTGTTGGTCGTTGGAGTCATCGTCTTTCTTTGCACCGCGTCCAGCACCACTGAAGCCACGTCCTCTGCCACGTCGGTTCCCTTGCATCCCGTAGCCGCTGCTGCCGTCGTCTCCACCCCTCAGTTGGCGGCGACGGAAGTCTTCCTCCAGAATCTTCGTCCGCACCCACTCGAGCGTCCACAAGCTCTGGTTCTGCTTCAAGCTCAATCCGCTCGTGAATTGAAGCCACGATTCTGGCAGCAGCGAGAGCATCTTCAGGCACTTGGTCTGCTCCGGGTAGGTGATTCCCGCGATCGCCAGCTTCGCGTAGAGATCACGCATCTTGTCCAGGATGGGTTGCACCGGCTCTCCCTCGCTCAGGCGCAACGCGGACAGCTCCCTCTCCATCATGAGCGTCGCAGCGACGGAGGTAGGGGCGTGCAGCTCCTTCAACACCGTCCACGCCTTCGGACCGCACTCAACCTCCGGCAGCAGGTGCATGACGTGATGACGCTGGTTCAGCTCCAAACTCTGCGACATCAAATAGTAGCCAGCCGAGGAACGCTCGTCCCAATCTTCCTGCAGGGCAGGGTCACTCGGTCTAGGCTCCTCCCCAATCATTAGTTTCAGCAATCCAATCTGACGGAAGTAGAGTTGCATTTTCCAGGCCCAATCATCATAGCCCTCACAATTGAACTTCTCGACGGTGAAGTTCTTCAGCACCTCCTTGATCAGCGAGCCCTGGTTTGTTCGCGCTCCCCTTGGCGCCGAAACACCAGAATCTTGGCTGCTGCTACGATCTTGGGCTGAAGATTCACCAGCTCCTGCCGAGGTGTACCTATAACGAGGATCGCTATAACGCAGCTCTGATACCAGCTTGTTGGTGTAAGGGCCTAATAAACTCAAGCTATTAGGACTTAATCAAACTTAAAACCTCTCATCGGGGTCACCTCCAAGGGTCCCTGGGAGCCTGGTACAAGACCAGCCCCTATCCTCGGGTCCAAGTTTGTAGAGAGAGGGATCAAGAGAGACTTAGTCAAAACAGCAAGAGTAACTTGAACGTCGCGCAGCGTGCCGTGCAGACCGTCGATCGGATTAAGCTGAGAATTCTCTATATCGAAGCTCGCTCCAAGAGCTTTAAAATAAGCCAAGTTGCCTCGCGAAACGTTCTGCCATTACGAAGTTATGGCTCGGAGAGCGTTTGCCTAGCGTTGGAGTGCCAGCGTACTAGCATTGACTCGGGTAGCATTCCGCCGTCGAACCGTGCAGAAACGAAATTCCAGCGAGGAAGGAATTCGCATGAATAAATGGACTATATCCAGGTACAAACAGAGAAGGAATAAATAGCTATAGCTAGCAAGGGCCTTGGGAATCAACCTGGGAACAACCAGGGATGATCCCAAATAATTCCAAGCAACAGAACCAACCTGGCTGGACAAAACAGCAGGTGGTAGGTTGGAAAACAACCTCTGGTTCTGTTTTTCCAACCTGGGAAAACAACAACCAGGTTCAGGTTCAAAAAACAGAACCTGTTTTGTCTTTGCCCAACCAGCCAAATGCTGGTTCTGCTGGTTTCCCCTGGCCTTGTAGCATGCAGATACAGACAAACAATATCCAACCTTCACCTAAATTGTACCCCTATAGTGCCTGCCCTGCTACACTACAGTCAACCAAACAAAACAGTACAATTTCGAGTTGGATACAACTGAATCTGCGCAATCAACTCAACCGAACTGCAAAGCTTCCATCTTGGGTTCCTTTGCGAGCTCGTCCTTTCTGCTTGCACTGTTCATAGCGCGTACAACGTTGTGCCGAAGCGCACATTGCGCGAGTACCTGCAAATGCTTCAAGCGAAAATTGCGAAAGCAAACAAACATACAAACACACCATTCACACGCAAATGCATTCGCACACGCATACTCGTACAAACAGACGGCAGGATGTCGTGCAAAGTGAATTTGCACCCAATACACTCCCCCTCAGCCTGCCGGCTGCATTTCCATCATTCCATGCTAGTTCATGCTCATTCTACTCATGCGCACACAACGCCAATGAGGCTCATCCGCAAGCCTCTTGGTGAGAAAGTCCGCTGGCTGCTGGTGAGTCTTGATGTAGATCGGATTCACAGTCCCCCTCTTCACCTCCTTACGCAGCCAGTGCCACTTGATACGCATGTGCTTGTTCAGCCCATGAAGCACAGCGTTCCTGGCCATCCCAAGAGCCCCCTTGCTATCACAAAACAGCGGCGTAGCAACCTTCTGCTCCTGGCCAATCTCCTCTAACAACCTCCTCAGCCAAATCACCTCCTTCACCCCGTGGAACATCGCCATGTACTCTGATTCCACAGAGGAGAGTGCCGTCTCCGTCTGCTTCTTGGACCTCCAACTAACAGGTCCTCCCCCAACTACGCAGATGTATCCTCCCACAGATGAGGAATCCTCCTTCTCAGAAGCCCATGTAGCATCGGTAAAGCAAGTCAGAAACAGCTTGCCTTCTCCAAGCCGCTCCCCCTTCTCCTTCAGCACCTCAACCCCTTTCTGCTTCATCTGTGCAGATGCGGAGGACAGAAATTGCTGCTGCTCTTCAGCTTCAACCCCTTCATCTTCTGCAGCCTTCACAAGCTTAAATTCTGCTGGCAGGGAAGTTGCAACCTTGCGCTCATTCTCAATCCCACACTTCTCCCCCAGCTCCTTGATGAACTTCTCCTGGTGCAGCTTCAACCACCTGTGATCCAGATCCCTCTCCACGTGCATCCCGAGGTAGTACTTTACCTCCCCAAGGTTCTTGCACTTGAAGTTCTCCATCAGCTGCTGCTGCACTTTCTGGATCTCCTTCATGCTGCTGCTGAAGAGAAGAATGTCGTCTACGGAGACCAGAAACATCACCAGCTCCTCCCCCTCCCCCTTGAGAAAGAGGCTCTCATCACAGCTGCTGGTCCTGAACCCTATCTCCTCTAAAACAGCTGCCAACTTCTGGTACCAGCAGCGTGGTGCCTGCTTCAAGCCGTAGATGGACTTTTTCAGCTTGCACACCCTGCCCGTACCATCCTCATACCCAGGCGGCTGCGTCATGAACACCTCCTCCTCTAAAATCCCGTTGAGGAATGCCGTTGATATATCCATCTGGATAATGAATTTCCCACTAACGGCTGCATCTGCCAACAAGACACGAAGGGTAGGGGGTTTGGCAGTGGGAGCAAAGATCTCATTGAAGTCCCACGTCTCCTTCTGCATAAATCCCTTAGCCACCAACCTACTCTTGTAGATGGTGACCTGCCCCTTGTCGTCAGTCTTGATCCTTAGCACCCACTTGCTGTACTGCTTTCTTTCCCTCAGGCAGCACCACTAGATCCCAAGTCCCGTTCTCCAGCAGGCTCTGGTACTCAGCATCCCTAGAAGCCAGCCACTTGTCCCTATCTGGTCCAGCTAATGCCTCCTCCATGCTAGCTGGTTCCTCTGGTGCAGGGGCGATAAAACAGTAGGCAGGTTCATCCTCCTCATCTGGGTCATAGCCATGAGGTAGAATCAGCATTGCCTCCTCGGTCCCAAGCTGCTGCTCCGCTACACCTGATCCTGCAGTCAGCTTCTTAGTAGCCATACGGGTACGTCCTGGCTTGGAGACGGGTGTCTCCCATCCCTTCATAACGACACCCTTCGGCTTCTTAGCTTTCCCCTGCTGCTGCTTTCCTCCCTCGGATCCAGCAGCTTCACTAGTGCTATCGCCAGCCTCTCCTCCACCAGCAGGTGCCTCCTGTACATTTTCTCCATCACCATTCCCCGCAGCTGCCTCTTCTCCCTCCTCCCACACACTAGGAGTCAGGTCCAGCTGCATGGTGATCTGCTCCATCTGTTGGTACACCCTTGCCTCTGGTTGTTTCTCCCAGCTCCCATACATCATGCCCTCAATGAATTTCACATCCCTGCTGTCAAAAAACACACCCTTGGATGGTTCCCACAGCAGCCATCCCTTGCTCTCAGCTGCCAGTCCCAAATGCACACACCAGATTGCACTCGCCCCCAACTTACTGCGGTAGGGCTTGGGGACGTGGGCGACTGCCATGCAACCAAACACCCTCAGCATGTCCACCGGCGGCTTCCTCCCAAACCACCTCTCCAACGGCACCCACGAGTCATTACCAACCTTGGTGAGTACCCTGTTCCTAGCGACGGTAGCGTGCCGGACAGCGTGAGGCCACATGAAGTTTCCAAGCCCAGATTCTATGAGCAGCGCCCTAGCTGTCTCTAGAATAGTCCGGTTCGCCCGTTCTGCTACACCGTTGGACTGTGGGGTGTAAGCAATGGACAGCTCCCTCTGAATGCCCTGCTTCTTGAGCCAGGCCGTCATCTCAGCTCCAAGGAACTCACCACCCCGGTCTGTCCTGATCCGCTTCACCACACACTCCGCTTGCTTCTCCACGAACGGCAGCCAATCGTCTCGAATCGTGGAGGCGGCGTGATCTTTCTGCTTCAGCGGATACGCCCACATTAGCCTGCCCCTTGTGCCCTTGCACCGACAGCGGCCCCACCAAGTCCATGTGGACCAGCTCCAGCGGCTTCTTGCTCTTGCCAGCCACACTATGGAAGGGGAAACGGGTGAACTTTGAGAGCAAACAGATTTCACAGTTTTCATCGGGTGGCTGTTTGTTCAGCTTCAGACCCTGAACGGCTCCATCCTTCTCCAGCTGCTTCAGCAAAGGCATTGCCACATGCCCTAAGCGCCGGTGTGCCGTTGCCCAATCTGTCTCCCCAGATCTGGCCGACACTTTCACACCAACCCCTCCAACGGCGTTGCACTTCCCCTGGGATGCAGACCCCTCTCCAGCCTGCCCCCCACCGTGCCACGCCAGGGCCGGCAGCTGCCACATAGATCTGTACACGTCCTTGCTCTCGTGCAGATCCCAAAGCATTTGTTTGCCCAGCTTCCCCTTATAAGTGCGTGCCCCATCCGTGTTGGTGTTCACCCCAGCCTTGCCAAGCTTACGGAGGGAGATAAGGTTGGCCTTCAGGTCGGGGACGAGGAGAACGTCGTGCAGCACCACCGGCTTGCCATCCGCTCCCTTAAACGCAGCTCGTCCCGCACCAGCCACCTTCAACATGTGTCCAGAGGCGGAGCACACCTCATTGAAGCGTGGAACTTCGTCCAGCAGGTCTTTGCGCGGCGTCATCGTCCAAGCAGCGCCTGTGTCCTATACCCAATAGTCCAGGGGGTGCAGCTCTGCTCCAACTTTGGCAGAGGCGTCTCCTTGCTCCCCTTTGTCTCCCACATGGAAGAATTGGCCCGCGGTGCGCTCCTTCTTCTCCGCACCGCCGTTGCCCTTCGGGTTGTTGTCGGACGAATCAGCGACCATGTTGGCGCCGTTTTTCTGGTTCCTCCGCGCGCCGCCATCCTGGTGACGATTCTGGGGGGTCCATCCATCGAGTTTCTTATAGCACAAAAACCAGGGGTGCCCTTCTTTCTCACAATACCAGCAACTCCCTTTCATTTTGCCACCAGCACCCGACTTGCCCCCACGTCCAGATTTCGCACCGCGACCCCAACCGGTACCTCCTTGTTGGTCGTTGGAGTCATCGTCTTTCTTTGCACCGCGTCCAGCACCACTGAAGCCACGTCCTCTGCCACGTCGGCTCCCTTGCATCCCGTAGCCGCTGCTGCCGTCGTCTCCACCCCTCAGTTGGCGGCGATGGAAGTCCTCCTCCAGAATCTTCGTCCGCACCCACTCGAGCATCCACAAGCTCTGGTTCTGCTTCAAGCTCAATCTGCTCGTGAATTGAAGCCACGATTCTGGCAGCAGCGAGAGCATCTTCAGGCATTTGGTCTGCTCCGGGTAGGTGATTCCCGCGATCGCCAGCTTCGCGTAGAGATCACGCATCTTGTCCAGGATGGGTTGCACTGGCTCTCCCTCGCTCAGGCGCAACGCGGACAGCTCCCTCTCCATCATGAGCGTCGCAGCGACGGAGGTAGGGGCGTGCAGCTCCTTCAACACCGTCCACGCCTTCGGACCGCACTCAACCTCCGGCAGCAGGTGCATGACGTGATGACGCTGGTTCAGCTCCAAACTCTGCGACATCAAGTAGTAGCCAGCCGAGGCACGCTCGTCCCAATCTTCCTGCAGCGTGGGGTCACTCAGTCTAGGCTCCTCCCCAATCATTAGTTTCAGCAATCCAATCTGACGGAAGTAGAGTTGCATTTTCCAGGCCCAATCATCATAGCCCTCACAATTGAACTTCTCGACGGTGAAGTTCTTCAGCACCTCCTTGATCAGCGAGCCCTGGTTTGTTCGCGCTCCCCTTGGCGCCGAAACACCAGAATCTTGGCTGCTGCTACGATCTTGGGCTGAAGATTCACCAGCTCCTGCCGAGGTGTACCTATAACGAGGATCGCTATAACGCAGCTCTGATACCAGCTTGTTGGTGTAAGGGCCTAATAAACTCAAGCTATTAGGACTTAATCAAACTTAAAACCTCTCATCGGGGTCACCTCCAAGGGTCCCTGGGAGCCTGGTACAAGACCAGCCCCTATCCTCAGGTCCGAGTTTGTAGAGAGAGGGATCAAGAGAGACTTAGTCAAAACAGCAAGAGTACCTTGAACGTCGCGCAGCGTGCCGTGCAGACCGTCGATCAGATTAAGCTGAGAATTCTCTATATCGAAGCTCGCTTCAAGAGCTTTAAAATAAGCCAAGTTGCCTCGTGAAAAGTTCTGCCATTACGAAGTTATGGCTCAGACAGCGTTTGCCTAGCGTTGGAGTGCTAGCGTACTAGCATTGACTCGGGCAGCATTCTGCCGTCGAACCGCGTAGAAACGAAATTCCAGCGAGGAAGGAATTCGCATGAAACCAGAGAACAGAGAACAACCAGGGATGATCCCAAATAATTCCAAGCAACAGAACCAACCTGGCTGGACAAAACAGCAGGTGGTAGGTTGGAAAACAACCTCTGGTTCTGTTTTTCCAACCTGGGAAAACAACAACCAGGTTCAGGTTCAAAAAACAGAACCTGTTTTGTCTTTGCCCAACCAGCCAAATGCTGGTTCTGCTGGTTTCCCCTGGCCTTGTAGCATGCAGATACAGACAAAAAACATCCAACCATCACATAAATTGTACCTCTATAGTGCCTGCCTTACTACACTCTACTCAACCAAACAAAACAGTACAATTTCGAGTTGGATAGAACTGAATCTGCGCAATCAACTCAACCGAACTGCAAAGCTTCCATCTTAGGTTCCTTTGCGAGCTCGTCCTTTCGGCTTGCACTGTTCATAGCGCGTACAATGTTGTGCCGAAGCGCACATTGCGCGAGTACCTGCAAATGCTTCAAGCGAAAATTGCGAAAGCAAACAAACATACAAACACACCATTCACACGCAAATGCATTCGCACACGCATACTCCGTACAAACAGACGGCAGGATGTCCTGCAAAATGAATTTGCACCCAACAAGTAGCGCACATCTTCTTAGTACCATCCACGTGGTTAAGTAACGCACAAATTCTTAGTACCATCCATATGGGTAAGTAACGCACTTACTATTAGTACCAGCCACCCGTTTACCTAACGCACATACTCAAAGCACCATGCACATGGGTAAATAACGCACTTACTCTTAGTACAATCTACATAGTTAAGTGACGCATATACTGTTAGCACCATCCACATGGTTTAGTATAGCATATACTCTTAGCACCATCCACATGGGTAAGTATCACACTTATTTCTAGTACCATCCACATTGGTAAGTAGCGCATTTAAAATTTCTACAATCCATATGGGTAAGTAACGTATTACTCTTAGTACCATCCAGATGGGTAAGTAGCGCACTTCTTCTTAGTACCATCCACATGGTTAAATAACGCACAAATTCTTAGTACCATCCAGATGGATAAGTAACGCACTTACTATTAGAACCAGCCATCTAGTTACCTAACACACATACTCTAAGCACCATGCATAATGGTTAGTAACGCACTTACTCTTAGTACCATCCACATGGTTAAGTAACACAAATACTCTTAGCACCATCCATATAGTTTAGTAACGCACATACTCTTAGCACCATCCGCATGGGAAAATAACGCACTTACTCTTAGTACCATCTACATGGGTAAGTAACGCACTTACTTCTAGTACCATCCATATAGTTAAGTAACCCATTTACTCTTAGCACCATCCACATGGGTAAGTAACGCGCTTACTCTTAGTACCACCTACCATATGGGTAAGTAACGCACTTACTCCTAGTACCATCCATATGGGTAAGTAATCCACTTTCTCTATGTACAATCCACATGGGTAAGTAACGCACTTACTCTTAGTACCATCCACACGGGTAAGTAACGCACTTACTATTAGTACCATCCACATGGTTAACTAACACACATATTTTTAGCACCATGTACATGGGTAAGTAACGCACTTTGCTTAGTACCACCCACATGGTTAAGTAACGCATATACTATTAGCACCATTCACATGGTTAAATAATGCACTTTTAGCACCATCGACATGGTAAGTAACGCACTTACTCTTGGTACCATCCACATGGGTAAGTAACGCACTTACTCTTAGTATCATCCATATGGGTAAGTAACGCACTTATTCTTAGTACCAACCATATGGGTAAGTAACGCACGTACTCTTAGCGCCATCAACTGCGGATGGGCTGCGTGGTAAGAGTAACCATGTCTTTACGTCTTTTCTCCGAAACTCTGCACGCAAGTCGGGGTCATCCGGCGTCGCCACGGTACCGCGAGCAAAGTTGATCAGCCCGGCCATCTCCAGCTGGGGCTCGATAGCTTCCTTCCAGGTGAGAATGTCGGGTCGACCGACCAGCAGGGGAGTGACCAAGATCCTATCCGGCGTAAACTTGAAGTAGCCGTAGCTCGGTGCTATCCCGCCTGCTGTCACCTAGGTTGCCGACATCGTAAAGATCCACTTCATCGACCTCTGACGTCACCCCGCGACCAGCCCCTATCTTTATTAGAAATACAGACAGTAGGATGTCGTGCAATGTGAATTTGCACCTAACACACTCCCCCTTGTCAACGGGAGTTGTATGTTGGCCCCGTCCTCGCTTGGGCGGAGCCAACTTCGTGGTCGGGTGTAGGGGTGCAGCCGACCTGCAGCAGTGGGCGAGCTGGTCGACGAGGAAGTCGACCTGCACGGGTGCCACTGCATGGGCGCCGAGTTCAGGATGGCGCCGGATTCAGGGAGGTCGACCTGGGAAGTCGACCTGCGGAGGGCGTCGACTTGGTGACGCCAACTTGGGGCAGCCGACTTGGGTGGTCGGCTGACAGAACTGCTGGTCGACCTGGTTGGTCGACCAGGCCTTCTGGTCGACTTGGTTGGTCGACTAGGCCTACTGGTCGACTTGGTGGTTGGTCGACCAGGCGTGAGGTCGACCTGGTGGTCGACCGAACATTGTGGTCGACGAATGAGGGGCCGACGTCGGCTGACAACGTCGCTGGTCGACCAGGAGTGACGTCAACTTAGAGCTGGTCGACCAGGGGCAGTGGTTGATCTCGTGAGGTCGACTGCAGGTGGCCGTCGACTTTGAGGTCGACCGGCACATACAGGAGCAGCTGGTCGACGTGGCTGCCCGGTCAACCAGGTTACCTGCGTGACAAGGCTCTGCGGAGGCACGCGACGGTCGCCCAGGCGATGTTGGCGAGGACGACCTCGATCATGGTATCCTAAGGTCGACGTGGCTGATCAGAAGTAGTCGTCAGCACGAAGTTGACTTGGCGTATGCACTGCACGCCAATCATCTGCGAGCACCTGCGAAGCGGGTGCGCTACTGTCATGCGGGAGCAACGTTGGCACGCCGTCAACCTGCGACGTTGGCACGCCGTCGACTTGCAGCATTGGCTGCGGAGATAACTGCTGCAACGGGAGCTAGACTACGGGCTAGGCACGAGTGCTCATGTGATCTCTGCGTTCGTTCCTTAGTCGTTTCCTTGTGCGCACACTACTTGCTAGTTCACGGGGAGATTCGGCAAGAGTTCCACTAGGAAAACATAGCAACAAAGGTTCAGAATGATTGCAACAACATTGGCATGCATCACTACATCAGAGCTAGCACAGCTGCTGGTCGACCTCCAGCGCAGCACGGTCGACCGCGATCCAGCGCAGCAATGCTCGCACCGCTCCAGCGCGGCAGAGATGCGGCGCGCCAACGTTGCATGTCCACGATGTGCCAACGCTGCAGCAAGTCGGCTGCACAGCGTTGCACCCGCAGGACAACGGTGCACCTGCTTCGCAGGTGTGCGCGGCTGGTTGGCGTCCAACTCCCCGTCACGTGCCCAGCGCAGACATTCCCGCTCGTGACGGCGCCCATCAGCCACGTCGACCTCGGGATACCACCCCCGAGGTCGTCCTCGCAGAACTGCTCCCGGCGACCTTCGCACATGTCGCCCGGGTATCCCGGTCGACGAGGCAACCCCGCCAGGTCGCCCAGCCCATTCGGTCCCCGACTATGCCAAGCCCGGCGTCCCCAGGTCGGCGTCCTGGCGTCCAGGTCGGCGTCCACACGTCCAGGACGCCGTCCAAAGGCCCTGGTCGGCGTCCAGACGCCGGGACGCCGAGCAGACCATCAGGTCGGCGTCCAGCCTCCCAGGACGCCGAGCAGACGCCCAAGTCGGCGTTCAGGCGCCCAGCCGGGCAGACGCCCAGGTCGGCGTCCAGGCGCCCAGGACGCCGAGCAGACGCCCAGGTCGGCGTCGAACTGCTTGGCGCCCCCAACCAGGCGCCCCACTAGCACTACTACGTCCTTGCAGTGGCCCCCGCGCCCACTGCTGCAGGTCGGCTGCATCCCCCGCACACCCGACCACGAAGTCGGCTCCGCCCAAGTGAGGACGGGGTAACACAACACTCCCGTTGACATTGGCAAGCCGCGACTCTGCACTGCTGGAGCGCGGTCAACCAAGTCGTGCTGGCACGCGGTCGACCGTGCTGCGCTGGCAGTAGACTTGCTGGCAGTAGCTCTGATGTAGTCTGCTAGTGAAACTCTTGCCAACTTTCCCTATGAACCGGCAAGTAGTACAAGCACGAGTAAACGACTTTGTGGATGAACGCAGAGATCACACAGGCACCGATGCCTAGCCCGTAGTCTAGCTCCCGTTGTAGCAGTTATCTCCGCACCTCTCAGCCCGCCGGCT